CTTGACGCAGCCAGGAACCAGGTCGCGGCCCCCCCGAGACACCTCAGCTGCGGTAATGGCCGCCGCCAATGGCGTGTAGCTGGTGGAAGAGACAAAAGAGTAGTCAGACAAGCCGGGGTCAACAACAACAGGACAAAACAGTACAGTACAGCAGACGAGAATCACAGGTCACGAGCCGGGTTCAGCAACAGAGGGTCAGATCAAAGGAGAATACAAAGAATAGTCAAGTCACAAGCCGAATCAGATACCAGGAGAGTCACGAGAGTCAGAACAGAGTAATAGCAACATAAAAGACACAAGACACAAGTGCAAGGAGCATGTGCGGGCCACAGGCTTATATGTCATCAGCCACACCCCTCTGGGGGATGGACCACAGAAACCTAGGCATAAAAGGATTCCCATAATGCACAGCAGAATCCAAGATGGACGCCAGCACATGGAGTAACATAACCTCAGGGAAAAGGTAGGACCTTAACATGGAGCCATATTATCCCAAAGACAGGGACTCAAATCCCTTCTGCACCCTGTTGCATTTTTCTCCTGAAAATTGAGTGTTTCCGAAAGGAACTATGACGTGGGAGACAGAGAATTACTCGCCATTAAGGCAGCATTGGAAGAATGTTGCTATTTACTGGAAGGTGCAGTTCATCCCATTCTCATCTTCACAGACCATAAAAATCTTGAGTACCTGAAAACGGCGAAATGCCTCAGGCCACAACAAGCTAGATGGGCACTATTTTTCTCTCATTTCACCTTCCATCTGACATACCATCCTGGATCCAAGAATGGCAAGCCTGATGCGCTCTCCAGTATGTTCCCCGACCCAGTTGCACAGTCTGAACCCGACAAAATCCTGCCTGCAAAAAAAAAACGTCTTACTCCTTCAGACGGACCTTGTTACGCAGATAAAGGAAGCCATGAGTAGTCACCCACCTCCCATGAATATGCATTTGCAATTAAAGGATGCCTTGTATTTCCACAAGGAGCAGATCTTTGTGCCTGAAGAATTCCGGACTCTTGTTCTCCAGAGATGTCATGACCATCCACTAGCAGGTCATTTTGGGATTCACAAAACCTCTGAGTAGGTTTCCCATTCCTTCTGGTGGCCAAACACAGTGAAGGATTGCCAAGACTACGTGAGATCTTGCACAGTCTGCCTGAGAAATAAATCCGATAAAGCCAAGACTTGGAGCCTGTTGGAGTCCTTGCCCGTACCAGAAAAACCATGGAGCATGATCTCAATGGACTTTATTGTTGAACTGCCACCATCTGAAGGATTTACCACTATCTTCGTAGTGACTGATCGCCTGTCTAAGATGGCTCATTTCATCCCTTTGAAAGGGACTCCATCGGCCACAGAAACTGCCTCCGTTTTTTCATCAAAGAAATCGTAAGATTACATGGTGTCCCCCTGAATATTGTATCTGACCGGGGAGTGCAGTTCACATCTAAATTCTGGAAAGCTCTGTGTGAGGCATTAGAGATCAGGTTACGCTTCTCATCTGCTTACCATCCCCAAACAAATGGACAGACGGAGAGAACAAATCCAACTCTGGAGCAATACCTCCGATGCTTCTCCTCGTATTCGCAAGACGACTGGGCTTCGCTTCTTTCATTAGCGGAATACTCCTATAACAATTCCATCCATGTTGCTACCAAGCAATCTCCGTTTTTTCGCTAACTACGGATACCACCCACCTTTCTTCCAGAAATACCAGTAGAGGCCGCTGTGCAAGCAGTACAAGAAAGGATGGAGTTCCTCAGGAGGAACGGCAAAGTCATACAAAAAACAATTTCGGAAGCTCAGGCGAGCAACACAAAAATTTTTTGATAGGAAAAGAAGGGGTAACCTGGAACTGAAACAAGGGGAAAAAGTCTGGCTATCCACGGCCAACCTGAAACTAAGTTGTCGATCAAGGAAGCTTGGTCCAAGGTTTCTGGGACCATTTCCCATCAAGAGAAAGGTGAACCCTGTAGCGTTTGAACTTGAATTACCAAAAAATTTGAGGATTCCCCCAGTATTCCATTGCTCCTTGTTGAAACCACACATCCCAAGTGGGTTTCCCAACCGGAATCCGGAGTCGCCTGCGCCAGTGTTGGTCGAAGGGAACGAAAAGTATGAGGTTGAGGCTATTCTGAACTGTAGGAAAAGGGGCGGACAGACCCAGTTCCTCATCAAATGGAAGGGATACGGTCCAGAGGATAACTCCTGGGAACCGTCCACAAATGTCCATGCCTCACGGATAGTTCAAGCCTACCTCTGTCGTCATCCTGAGAAACGAGCCCTAGTGGGCATCCGGAGGCTGCCCATAAGGGGGGGGCAATGTCAGGGAAGAAGAAAATCGCTGCAGCACATGAATCTGCACAGGCGCAGGATTCCGACAAGGCATACAGGCAGGCGGGCACTAGGACCCAGGCGCGTCTGTCACCAATGATGGAACTGGCAGGCACTAGGACCCAGGCGCGCCTGTCGGCGCTGGGCGGGCTATTTAAGGAGCACCTCAATGATGATTTACTGCTGACTGGTCTTCAGCCTCCCCCTGTGTCCTGCAATTCCTGTGCGATTCCTTTGGTGGTGACCCGGCTTGTTCCTGACCCGACTCTGATTGCTCTCCTGCTCCTGGTTCCTGACTTCGGCTCTGCTCCTGACTTTGGCTTCTCCTACTGATTCTGTACCTTGTTGCCCGACTGTTGATGACCTTGGCTTCCTTTGACCCTGTTCCTGTCCTGTGTCCTGGCTACCTACCTGCTCTGCTGCACATCAGGCATTATCCAGAATCTGCTCTGTCTGCTATTACAATACTCAAATTAGAGGATACACTGCCTTCTCAGGCCATCATCTGCAACAGCCACAAGCAACCACCTCAGGCACTCTTGTTCCCCTGGTTCCTAGACTCCCCTCTGTTCCAACCTCAGCGGGGTCAGGGCTAGTGACACAAGTGAGGCCGACCTCGTCAATTAAGTCTCCTATCAGGTACGAGACAGAGTTCCTCGCTACTGCCATAAGCTTCTCTTTGATATGGTAAAAAATTTACCAATACATCTCTAGGGACTGGTGCGGGTAAAAAGGATGGTTTTGGATTCTGTGAGCTCTGTCAATTGCTGCTTCAATATTACTGAGTGATGGGATAAGATGCTTCATCAGTTGTTGTATGTATGGCATCAGTGTATCACAGTTGACTGACTCTGGGATGCCGTGGAATTTAATGTTATTCCTTCTAGAGTGGTCTTCTAGGTCTGCTATCTTGAGATATAGTTGTTGGAGCTCAGTGTCATGGTCTGCAAGTGCATCTACCATGCTGTTATGGGTCGAGAACAGGTCGGTCATCTTGTTTTCAATATGGTGCAAGCGTTTAGCATGTTCAAGAATAGTGTTAGAGAGCTATCACATTAGCAATATCACTATGAAGGGTCTGTCTTGGTGAAAGAAGCATGTTTTTCATGGCTAGTTCAGAGACAGGTTGGTCAGAAGCAGGAAACTCTTCTATGGCTGATTGTAGTTGTAATGTAGGGGCATAAGAGATATCAGGTTTATGCATTGCTGTGCATGTGGGTTCTTCGAGTGATTTGCGGTGCCACCCCTCTTCCCTATTTATTAGACTCGTTTATCTCCTTGGGATTGGTCTTGAAGAAGGAACTCTGCACATGCTCCAAAATGAGTCACCGCCCCACGCTCAACGTCACTTCTGGTTTGCGTTCCACCTGGACAGCGCATGTTCCAGCTTTCCCAGAAGAGCAGCAGCCATAGTGACACCTCATCCAGAGCTCCCCGGAGCAGCTACTGGCCGGCACAACGGGATGCCACACAGTGGATAGACCCCCGCACTCTGACGGATTATTAAGATCCTGTTATTTCTTTCACCTTGTAAGTGTTTTTAACCTTTCTTATTAAAAGCTATTTTGGGGTTACTGCACTCAGAAGATCCTTCTTGTCTCAATTTGGATCTCCTTCAAATTTTGAGCACTTTCAGCCCATATCCATTATATAAATACCTGACAAAAACTAAAATTGTGCCTGTGTCCAAATATATATGGACCTAACTGTATTTTTTAAAGTGCATTTATTACTTTTTTCTTGCAGGAGCCTGGAAAACATTACACCTGTGATCAGTGAATCAGTGGTTAAATGTCAGGCTTCTGCAGACAAGCCCTGCAGCTTACAGGCCATACCTCCAATACAGGCCTACTGTTAAGCTGCAGGCCTTATGAATGAACTATGGGAACGCTCATCAGTGCTCTAACTGTTCTTTCAGAACTACAAGCCGTCAGCCATGGTGGCTGCCAGAAGTTGTACGGCATTTATTCACAGGAAAATGTGAATGAATGACGCTGCTGTTTTGGCCTAGCCCCGCACTGCATAGCTCTTTTAAAAAATTTACAGAAGGTGCAGAAAGATCTGCCCGCTGTCACAGGGAGGCTAGATCGGGGGGACTGGCGACAACAGCTGGAACATGTTACATGTTCCATCCTAAGTACATGTGGAACATGTAACATGTTCCAAAAGTTGGACTTTAAAGCCTTTAAAGTGACTATATGGCAGAGAACCTGTTTGAACATAATGATCCAACCCTTGGATGATCCTATCTATTCACTACTTTGTTCTTCTTAAGGAATATCCTGTAGCAATGCAAAAGGCAGTATTTGTACTACATCAAAGCTTTTCACCTCTATCAGGAGAGATAAACAGAAGCTCACCCTCCTATCAATTAAGCCTCCCTAATGGTCAGGGAGCTCTGCAACCCACCATATTAAAGGAATGAGGAGGTTCTACAGAATTTCAATATAAAATTGCTTCTTTTATCCCTGGATCTACTGATTATTCTGAAATTACCTGTTTGTATGCATTTTTCATCAAATGCTCAATTTGAATTGCCTAGGTTTAAGGCCATTTTTTACCATTCAGATGTGTGAATGTAAAATAAATATAAAATAGCAATATTAACAAGTTACAATACAATCTAAAAAGTGTATATATTTCCCTTAAACAAAAAAAAAAATACCTTCAAGTTTGCGAATACGAGCTGCCCTGACATCAAGCAAGTGGGCATATTGCTCCAACTTTATTTCATAATCACGACGCACACCCTCCATCTTCTGTGTAACAGCCTCCACTTCATCCTGTGAATAAAAGATCTGTTAGATTAAGAAAGAATTGCTGTAGTCATCTCTAAAGTGTTGGATCAAGCAGAAGAAATGTAGTGTGGCTAGGTTTACAAATCTTGTTTCCTTGAGTATACAAATAACGCTGTCTTGTACAAATTACGCAGACATTTGTTTAGTTACCTGGTAATCTTTGTTGATTTTATGCTGCATTATCAGCATGTTTCTAGTTTTCTCAAGTTCCTGCACAGTTTCCACATGGTTTGCCTGTAATTCTCTTAAAGACTTTTCAAGGTCCTTCCCCATGTCATCCTCCACTTTCTCCAAAAATTTGACCTCTCCATTCTTCTGTTGCTTCCGTGTCTACAGAAAGGTTTTAAGTTAATTTAAAATGGGACAATGCTTTTAAGGTATTTTCTTCTATATCTGTTGTGCAAGGGTTAAAAAAGTAACAAGGTCAACTTTGGATTCTGGAAAATGTAGCACTTAATAATTCACAAAGCAGCAAAAATGTTGATGATTAACAAACTCATTTCTAATGCCAACTAATTATGACTTTATTACGAGTATATTCAGGGCTGTGCTATTGTCCCAATCTGTTTGTAATTGTTATAGTGCCAAATTTAAGTCTGAGCCACATGTTTCATAAGGCTTTTTTCAAGCCACAACCAATTATATTGACAAACTGCACATGCCAATTACAGGGAGTTCTATGGCTGATGAGCAAATCTCAGCAGGAGACAGTGAACCTGCATACTGAAAGCATCGCAAAGATATGGAACAGATACTGAATCTGAGTAGCAGACAACAGATTTTGTGCGGTCTTCCCCTTATATGACGTGGAATAGTTTTTAGGGACACAACACATTCATATTGATAAAATAAAGTGCTCTCAAAGGCAGCATCTGTAACAACTTACTTATCAGTAGAAGAAAAAAAACAAGCCCATATTACCTCAAACTTGCTTTATAAATTTTCAACCAAGTGGAATAAGGCATGTGACTCTAAGGGCACACATGGCTGCCTAGGCAGTTATGGAAAAAGAGATAATCACGGCCATCAAGGTGCAGCTAAATCATAGCATCTTTAATAAAGAAGCATGGGAATTCCCTTTTTTCCCAAATCATTCTTACCTAGGTGGATGCAGCATCGCACCAATGCTGCACCTGTCCCCCGCTGGCTCTAAGGGTAACAACTCAGCGATCACATGACCTCGCCGCCGCTCTGAGCAGAGAACAGTGACTGTCAATCAACTATCTGCTTTGTTCCCCCTGTGCTCACTGGAGCACTGGGCTATGGAGGGGGAGGGAGTGGCTGGCTCAGGCTCTCAGCAGACTGCTGAGAGGCTGAGCCAGGTGTTGCTCGTGGCTCTGGGGTGGATCCTGACTTTAAAGTCAGGATCTTTCCCAAGTCTGAACAGGCTGAGTGAGGTCAGCCGACAGCAGACCTCAGGCGCTGTCAGCTGAAAACAGGCTATAGGAGTGCAGAACGAACTGCACTCCTGTGATCCACAGGAGAAATACAGTGCCTTGAAAAAGTATTCCTACTCCTTGAAATTTTTCACATTTTGTCATGTTACAACCAAAAACGTAAACGTATTTTATTGATAAACCAACACAAAGTGGCACATAATTGTGAAGTGGAAGGAAAATGATAAATGGTTTTCAAAATTTTTTTTACAAATAAATATCTGAAAAGTGTGGCATACATTTTTATTCAGCCCACTTTACTTTGATACCCCTAACTAAAATCCAGTGGAACCAATTGCCTTCAAAAGTCACCTAATTAGTAAACAGAGTCCACCTGTGTGTAATTTAATTTCATTATAAATACAGCTGTTCTGTGAAGCCCTCATAGGTTTGTTAGAGAACATCAGTGAACAAACAGCATCATGAAGGCCAAGGAACACCAGACAGGTCAGGGATAAAATTAAGGAGAAGCTTAAAGCAGGGTTAGGTTATAAACAAGCTCTGAACATCTCACGGAGCACTGTTCAATACATCATCCGAAAATGGAAAGAGTATTGCACAACTGCAAATCTACCAAGACATGGCTGTCAACCTAAACTTACAGACTAGGCAAGGAAAGCATTATTCAGAGAAGCAGCCAAAAGGCCCATGATAAGTCTGGAGAAGCTGCAGAGATCTACAGCTCAGGTGGGAGAATCTGTCCACAGGACAACTATTAGTTGTGCACTCCACAAATCTGGCCTTTATGGAAGAGTGGCAAGAAGAAAGCCATTGTTGAAAGAAAGCCATAAGAAGTGCAGTTTGTGAGACGCCATATAGGGGACCCAGTAAATATGTGAAAGAAGGTGCTCTGGTCAGATGAGACCAAAATTTAACTTTTTGGCCTAAAAGCAAAATGCTATGAGTGGTGGAAAACTAACAATGCACATCACCCTGAACACACCATCCCTACCGTGAAACATGGTAGTGGCAGCATCATGTTGTGGGGATGCTTTTCTTCAGCAAGGACAGGAAAGCTGGTCAAAGTTGATTGGAAGATGGATGGAGACAAATACAGGGCAATCTTAGAAAAATAACCTGTTAAGAATCTTCAAAAGACTTGAGACTGGGGCACAGATTCACATTCCAGCAGGACAATAACCCTAAACACACAGCCAGAGCTAAAATGGAATGGTTTAGATCAAAGCATATTCATGTGTTGAAATAGTCCAGTCAAAGTCCAGACCTAAATTCAATTGAGAATCTGTGGCAAGACTTGAAAATTGCTGTTCACAGACGCTCTCCATCCGATCTGACAGTTATTTTGCACAGAGGAATGGAAAAAAATTTTTACTCACTAGATGTGCAAAGCTGGTAGAGACTTACCCAAAAAGACTTGTAGCTGTAATTGCAGCGAAAGGTGGTTCTACTAAGTATCGACTCGGGGGCGGAATACAAATGCACGCCACACTTATCAGATATTTATTTGTAAAACATTTTGAAAACCATTTATCATTTTCCTTCCACTTCACAATTGTGTGCCACGTTGTGTTGGTCTATCACATAAAATCCCAATAAAATACATTTACGTTTTAGGTTGTAGCATGACAAAATGTGGAAAATTTCAAGGGGTATGAATACTTTTTCAAGGCACTGTACAGCCAAAATAGCTTTGGCTGTACTTCTCCTTTAAATTTAACTCTGACCTTCTGGCTAATTCAAAATAATAACTAAGTGCTGTTAACATAAACTGTTTCATAAACAGAATGTATTATGTATTTTGTAGCAATATAATTTTGATAGCTGAAGGTTCTAACTGGCTCTATTGACAAAATTTGGTAGTCTCTGGATCTTGCCTGCAAAAATTCAGCTAATCAGTCTGCCAGGTCTTCAGGCAGCCGTAAGTTTCCTCCTCTCTGCTGCTTTGGGCTGACAGGAGTGGTGTCTGCAGCATCACTATTATTACTGTTGGCTAACAGCCTGAAGCTGCAAGCTAGTAGTGGAGAGGAGGCAAAACACCAGGACATTCCTCCAGACCAGTGTAGGGAACCTGGGAGGCAATCTGCTGCAACTTCTGACAGGTTTCCAGTGTATGACTCCTGAAAGAAGAGCTCCTGACACAACACATATCTGAACACAAAGCATCACATTAAAGTTTTCTAGGGCAACAGAAAGCTGAATGAAGATGGTGTCCGCAGAAAGTGCTTTGCAAGGTCTGTGGAGAGCTTAGAGGTAAGGGGAGGAGTGCAAAATGTAGTGGAGATTCTAGAAATAAAAGGAGACCATATGACTACATCATTTAATCCACTGCAGGCCTATCTCTATAAAACCACAATGTAAAGGTGCACACACTGTGCACCACAGCCATAAATAGCCAAATATGTCTCCATTCAGCACAGTGTTATGCTTTTGCACCCTCCCCCTGACAAGCACACCAATCCTTAAAGCCTAATTGTAGTCACAAAAGAAAAACAAATCAGCACAAGAGACATTATTTACAGTCAGTAGGATGTGTCCCTTGTGCTGCTGACTCCTGTAATAGCTAAAACCCCCATCCATCCCCCCAAGTCCGTAGATTTTCCAATATAGCACGGGTTAATAAAGCTGAATTGTGACAGGCACTGATCAAGATGCCTGATTATATCCGTCTTTACCCGCCCATCTCCTCCATTCATAAAAGCCGTATTAGCTTTTAGAAATGAAATGTGATCTATGAATGGAGGAGGTGGACCATTTACTCAGGAAAAAACATTAGAGTAGTTAAAGCCAAATTCTGGTACAGGATTGTAGGAAGATCACTGAGCAATGAGGAAAGACTTCACCTGGAATATTGTACTTTGTGCTGGAGGAGAAACAAGGTGTGTTTTTGGTACATCTGGTATAATCCGGAGATGGTGAAAGCCCTGTTAAAGGGCAAGGCACACAGTGACCTACAGTACTGTGCAAAAGTTTTAGGAAGGTACATAGAAATGCTGTAAAGTAAGAATTCTTTCAAAAAAACATATTTTAATTGTTTATTATTATTATTATTATTATTATATATACAGGATTTATATAGCGCAAACAGTTTGCACAGCACTTTACAACATAAGGGCAGACAGAGCAGTTACACTAAAATTCAATAGAAGAGGAATCAGAGGGCCCTGCTTGTTAATGCTTACAATCTAAAAGGGGAGGGTCAAGTGATACAAAAGGTAATAACTGTGGGGGACGAGCAGATGGAGAAAATGCATGCACAGTTGTTAGGTGGAGGCAGGATAGGCTTCTCTGAAGAGAAAGGTTTACAGAAATTGCCTTAAAGTGGACAGAGTAGGATATAGACGGACAGATTGGCGTAGGGAATCCCATAGAATGGGAAAGGCTTGGGAGAAGTCCTGTAGGTGAGCATGGAAGATGACAAGGGAACTAGAGAGCAGGAGGTCTAGGGAGGAACAAAGAGAGCAATTTGCTTGGTATTTTGAGACTAGGTTGCAGATGTACCTGGGGGACAAGTTGTGGATGGCTTTGAAAGTCGTTAGTATTTTTAATTTAATTCACTGGATGAGGGGCAGCCAGTGCAGGGATTGGTAGAGAGGGGTGGCAGACACTGAACAGTTGGTAAGGTGGATCACCATGGCAGCAGCATTCACGATAGACTGAAGGGGGAATAGCCTATGTAAAAGGTGCGCCAATGAGGAGGGAGTTGCAGTAGTCAAGGCGAGAGATAACCTGGGAGTGAACTAGGTGTTTTGTGGTGTCATTGGTTAGGAAGGGGTGTATTTTGGAGATGTTGCGGAGGATGAGACTACAAGCTTTGGAAAGTGATTGGATGTGGGGCCGAAAGGAGAGTTCAGAGTCCAGCATTACACCTAGCACCTT